AGGGTTGTGGGGGGTGGTGGCTGGAGGCCGGGGGGGGGTCCCCTGATGGTGCTACCCCGCCCCCCAGATCAGCGGGCAGCTCTCGCCCCGGCTCTTCCGCAAGCTGCCGCCGCGGGTCTGCGTCTCCCTGAAGAGCATCGTGGACGAGGACTTTCTGTGTGCGGGGTGAGGGTCCGGTGCGGGGCGGGGGGCCCGCGGGGGGGCCCCCTCATCTGCGGGGTGGGGGGTGCGCCAGGCTGAGGCTGCTGCGTGTGTCTCCCCCCGCATCGTCCCCCCCACCAGGCACATCTTCCTCGGGTTCTCCAAGTGCGGCCGTTACGTCCTGTCCTACACCAGTAACAGCAGCGACGATGACTTCTCCTTCTACATCTACCATCTCTACTGGTGGGAGTTCAACGTCCACAGCAAGCTCAAACTGGTATCACACCCACCTGCCTCCACCAGACAGACGGATGGACGGACAACCCCTCCCTCCCGGGAGCTTCCCCCGGCATTTGGGGGGCCCCCCCCAGCAGCCGCCTCCCTCCCACCGCGTCCCCTCCTGCAGGTGCGGCAGGTTCGGCTCTTCCAGGACGAGGAGATCTACAGCGACCTGTACCTGACGGTCTGCGAGTGGCCCAGCGACTCCTCCAAGGTCATCGTCTTTGGCTTCAAGTGAGCACGTGTGTCCCCCCGACCTCGCCACCGTGTCTGCCCCCCCCAACAGGGGCTGCCTTCTCACCGCTCCACCCCCTCCCCAGCACCCGCTCCGCCAACGGCCTCCTTGTCAACATGATGATGATGAGCGACGAAAACCACCGTGACATTTACATCAGCGCTGTAGCCATGCCGCCCCCCCGACACTGCCCCGGCTGCCGGGACATGGCCCTCGCCCACCCCGGTGAGCCCCTGCTGTGCCGCCGAACCTTTCCCCCCCACTTCCAAACCCACACCACGGGGCCACCACCGGCCCGGCCCCCCGCCCCAACCCCACGCTGAGGCATCGCTTCTCCCTGGCTGCCCCCAGGCGACCGGCAGGCGCACTGCCTGCGGCACGGCTTCATGCTGCACACCAAGTACCAGGTGGTGTACCCCTTCCCTACCTTCCAGCCTGCCTTCCAGCTCAAGAAGGACCAGGTTGTGTTGCTCAACACCAGCTACTCCCTGGTGGCCTGCGCCGTCGCCGTCCACGCCGCAGGTACGGCGCCGCCAGGACCCCCGCTGCGCCTCACCGGGACCCCCCCCTCGCTGTAACCTCCCGGCTCCTTCCTCCCGCAGGTGACAGCAGCTCTTGCCAAATCCTGTACGAGCGCCGGAGCCCGCCGGTGCCCTGTCGCCGGGTGGGATGCG